TATCTGATATTGCGTGTTAGCTAAGTATAAAAATATATTTTAATCCACTATAATAAATATATGGATATGTTAGGCTAAATAGTATACTGACTACCACCGTTAAATGATATTCATTATTTTGCCCATATTACGTAACCTTTGCTTGTCCCTTATGTTATATTTTATGTCTATATCTCACCTTTTTATGATAATTTATTCAATTTAAATTTTATAGCATTTTTTATCTAATTTTTTAACATTTCCAAATATTTTTGAAATTTTCTAATTGTAGAGAAAATTTTAGTTCCGGTCTGATGATTTTTATTCATAACTCAATGTATTATTTGTTGCCGACATTATCTTGGTTTGTTTATCGAGTGGGTTTTAAACAAAACACATTTCTAATTTTTAAATTTAGTAAGAACTGTTATATACACCGATATATTAAATTTTGAATGAAACTGATTTGAACGCTTTTTTGGTAATATATTTAGCAATGTGTGAATTTCGGATTTTTTTTACATTTATTTGAATACCTTAGAAATTTTACTCTGGACACTGTTTTATGTATATCAAAGCAAAACTATATTGACTGAACTTTAGTTGAAGCTGTTATTCCTGCATAGAATTTAAAAGTTGAAAGTTGAATTTCGTAGTTGAAATAATTCGAGCTAAGGCACTAATCATTAAACTTGTATTTAATAGTTTTAGAACACTTTTTACTTTTCTGCACATAATTTCAAATTTTTATTTTGAACATTACAAATTGTACATAATTACATTATAGTAAGAACAAGATAAAATTTATTAAAACCGTTATTTATACTTTGGTATTAAAATTTTGAATAATTCGTAGAAAAGCATACTTTAGTGCTTTGAACTTCTTACATAATTTTTAGAACATTTTTACTTCTCTTCCAATTTTCATTTTAGACATCATAGGTTATACACATTAGCACAAACTACTAAAATTTACTAAAATCCAGTTGAAATTGTTATTGACACTTGGATATTAAAATTTTTGATAATTCTTCTACACATATCAATTTATTATTGCGAATATTTGTACAGGGACCGCCTATAGTGTGTTAATATATAATTTGCTAGAATTTGTTAGCACAAAAAATCATTGAAATTATCAGAATTAATAGTTTGATTCAATTTCAAAATTTTATCTTCTACATCATAATATTTTCTGAAATTTTCTGTAGTGACTTACTACTCTATATATTCAGGCCACACGAAATTGTTTTTTATGTAAGATATCTTATTCAAATAGATTTATATTTAATTTGCTAAAATATTAATAAAGATAAAAAATAATCATTATGAATAAAATAATAATTTGAATAAATCAATTTTCACGGCTTTTCTAAATTTTTCTGCTTCGTATCATTTAAAAACTTTTTAAGTTACTTTTTATAAAGATACTGCCCACGTCAAATTATTTTCTACATTAATCCTAATTAATTAAAATAATATATAATTTGCTACAATTTGAGAAAATTAAATTATTATGATTATCAAATTGAATCAAAAAATCATTAACTAATATTAAACAATTACTGTATTAAATTCATGATTTTGAAGTTGCACATTAATTCATGACATTCATAGTTGGTTCTGAAATGTTGGTCATATTTAATTAGAGTATAATATTTTTATAAAATTGTTTTATAATATTTTCTATTTTAAAATATCTCTTCTATTCAATTTTAGTTTGCTTTTTTATATCATTTGCAGATTTTAAACCATAAGATTACCGAATATTGTTTGCTTATAAATGAAACAGATTTAATTTCTTTCAAATGGATATAAGACATAATTAATTAACTAAAAGTATTTAATTATGCCAAATTGATATAAAAATTTATTTTAAAATCAAAAGCATTAGTATTAATTTAAATTTCGAATTTTTAGATGTTTCACATTTCTTTGTAAAATGATATCTCTATTTAAGTGGATTAATATTTAATTTGCTATCATTTGATAAAATAGACAAAAAATTGTTATAATAATTTGAATGTATAAATTTTACCGATTTTCTAAATTTTTCTGCTTCGTATCGTAATATTTCCTAGCATTTTTTCTGTTGTCGTTTTTTAGACTCTTTATAAGTTACTTTTTTATAAAGCTACTGCCCACGACAAATTATTTTCTACGTTAATCCTAATTAACTAAATTAATATATAAATTGCCAAAATTTGGGTAAATTAAAATTATTATCAAAATTAATTATTATAATCGCTAACTATTATTTAACAATTACTGTTAAAATTCTTGATTTTTGAAGTTGCACATTCATTTATGTCATTTTTAGTAGGCTCTGAAACGCAGGTCATATTTAATTAGAATATAATATTTTTACAAAATTGTTTTATAATATTCTCTATTTTAAAATATCTCTTCTATTCAATTTCAGTTAGCTTTTTATATCATTTGCGGATTTTAAACCATACGATTACCGAATATTGTGTGCTTATAAATGAAACAGTTTTCATTTTTTTTTCAAACCATGGATATATAAGACATAATTAATTAATTGAAAGTGTATTTAAGTTTATAAATACATGATCAAATGAAAACAAACTTTATAATATTTAAAAAAAGCAATTTAGTGTAGAGAAAACTTATCTGCAAATTTATCTGCAAAATTTTAATTATACCAAATTGAAAAATTTTATTTTAAAACTAAAAGCAATAGGATTATATCAAATTTCAAATTTTTAGATGTTTGACATTTCTTTGTAAGATATTTTCATTTAAGTGGATTAATATTTAATTTGCTAGCATTTGATAAAATAGACGAAAAATTGTTATAATAATTTGAATGTATAAATTTTACCGATTTTCTAAATTTTTCTACTTCCTACCGTAATATTTCCTAGCTTTTTTTCTGTTGTCGTTTTTTAGAATCTTTCTAAGTTACTTTTTTATAAAACTACTGCCCACGTCAAATTATTTTCTACATTAATCCTAATTAATTAAATTAAGATATAATTTGCTAGATAATTAAAATTATTATCAAAATTAATTATTATAGTCATTAACTAATATTTAACACTTACTGTTAGTTAAAATTCATGATTTTTGAAGTTGCACATTCATTTATGTCATTTTTAGTAGGCTCTGAAATGTAGGTCATATTTAATTAAAATATATGTATTTTTTTAAAATAGTTTTATAATATTCTCTATTTTAGAATATATCTTCTATTCAGTTTGAGTTTGCTTTTCTACCGAATATTGTATGCTTATAAATAAAACATTTTTTTCAATTATATTTATTCAATTATTTAATATAATTAATGTTTACGTTTATAAATATATATGAACAAACAGAAACAAAATAGATTCTAATTTATGTAGCCTCATTACACATATTTATAATACAACTTAGTTTAGACAAAACTTACATGTAAAGTTATTAAATAAACCAACAAATTATGCCAAAATGATAAATTTTGTTTTAAATTTAAAAGCAATAGGATTATATCAAATTTCGAATTTTTAGATGTTGCTTTAAAAATAGATTATTTCAGTGATCTTCAATATGATTGAATTAAATTAACATTCAGATGAATTTTGTGAACTTTTCGATAAATATACTTTTTTTTAATTTAATTTTATATTAATATTTTAAATTTTGTATTTGAATACGTTCTTTTAATATATATATTTTATTTCAATTTCGAATAATTGTAATAACAAATATTGGGAAAATGCTATTGAGGAACTGTACATATACTTTGTTCATGTAATTAAAAGTATAATGATTTTTATTATAAGCTCGATATATAATTTAACCAATTTATAAAACTACTTATTATAGCATAATTCTCAGAATCAATAATTGTTGAATCATATAAATATTAAATCAATATCATGTGTTATTCGATTTCTTAATATTTTATTATTAATTCATTTGTGAAAGGCGATTGTTATCCATCATTTTTATTAGTCATTTAGAAAGTAGGTTTCTCATATGCAATGTGTAGAAATTGCATGTGGAAAATAAGGAAATGAGCATAGATTATTAATACAATGATTTCATTATATGCATTGCAACATTTGTCACCTTTCTCGATGAATGCTTTTATTGATAATAATAATTTTACTTATATAATTGTAGTTGGCACCAAGATTATTATATAATATATAAAAAATTTAACTGTCTATTTTATTTAATTCTCAAATGATTTTGTTCTGTTCATACTGGATGCAACTATGATATTTCTAAATATTATTTTTTGAGATTTAACCCAATAGTTAATACCTCTTGACTGATTTAATCACATTAATTTTTTTTACCAAAGTTAATATGTAATATATAATATTTTCCTCTTTCTATCTTATTTGATATTCGAATGATTTTGTTCTGTTCACTGGATGAGACTATAATATTTTTAAAATCTGTTCTTTAAGATTCAATCATCTTCATTGTAATACTCATTCTTATAGAAACCTAATAGATGATTAATTTTGACTGATTTAATAATATGAAAATCTTTTGCAAAAAGATTGTAACTTGAGTGCTCATGCAAATATAAATAATTGATTGCATCAATTATGACTGCCAAAATGTTATATTTTGTATCGATTTATTGTTTTTTGTTATCTACATATACTTTAAACACCTAACCAGCTATCGACTTATTTAGACATAAATCAATAAATATATTTCGTAATTTTTAGTACTTCAAAATACTAATAATATTAATCATAAATTTATTGATAATAAGCTGTTATTTGACGAGTTTTAATCAAGAATTAATTATTATAAATTTTAGTATATCTCATGAATTTGGGTAAATGAATTTTATTTTCAACAATTCCTTTCTTTTCAAAATCATAATTTTAAAGCATACAATTTTTTTTCTATGTTGATTTTATATTTATATCAAGTATTATATTTCAAGGCATTGTTAAAATCTGGTGTATTATCGTGGAAAATAGATAGTAATTTGTAGGCTAAATCGGATTAAAATTATTAAAATTATTTTAGTTAGATTATTTTTTTACTTACAATGTTATTGAAGAAGGCAGGCCCACCACACAATGTGCTGCAGAAACAACATATAAATCACTTATTAAAGAAGCACCGCATTCGAAAACCAGCACTTTATTTTCATCCAAATATTCAGCATCAGAATAATCGTACATATCAGGATACAAAATCTTTTCTGAAACAAAACAAAATCACTAGAATTACCAATTTCAAATATTTTATAAAATTCGATACACGATACACGAATTCGCAGTGCATGAATATGTCCGACTAGTGGAAGTTCTTATTTTATTAATCAATTTTAGGCAAAGCATTTTAAATATTTTGGGCGATCGATTTTAAATATATGTATGTTACGACGAATTTTTGTTACAACTGTTAATAAACATAAAATTACAAATTTACTTTCTAGAAAATTATTTCATCATATAATAAATCATATAGATATGATTTAATCTCAAAAATAATTTTTTATTTGCGCTAAAAAACTCACTGACAATCATAATCATTTGTGTAAATATTTATTCCTAATTTTAATTCACTAATTTTGCGTGATAGTAAAAATCATTTATTGCCTCATCTCCAACACGTCATATTTTTGTATTTGATATTGTACAAGAAATCAATTCAAAGATCAAGTTAAATATGTATTTAAGGAACAAGTTGAAATTTGGAAACTGCAACAAATAATATAAACACAATATTTAAACCTAATAACTGTAACGAAATAAAATATTGGAATAATAAATTTTAAAATCGATTCGATTGAAATTGAAAATATTTTCTTTAATAAATTTAGTAACCAATAGTATCTCATAATTTTGTTTAACACTAAATATTAAAAAAAAAAATTTAGTGTTAAGACGTAATCTTATCCAGTACCTCATGAAATGTCACTCGTAAGTTTTACAATAACCAAATTTTTAGAAAAGATGTAATGAAAAAAGTTATCATTTTCACAATTAAATTTATCAATATTTTTCTCAAAAATATAAATCACACGCTGTGGCAAATTTTGTTAAAATTATTAGCTTGTTTTTTAAGAAGTTTAATATGATGATTAAAACCGACCCATTTTCTTCGCTTTGTTTTGTTAAAACATTTGAGCAACATATATATATATATATATATATATATAATTAAAAAAATATTTTTTTGTTCAGATTAACTATTAACTGACTATTAACATCTTTCGACAAAAAAATTTTTTTTTGAAATGTATATGCCATAAGAATTTTATTTAAAAGCAAGAACTTTCAAATAAACAAATTTTACAAGTGTAAATATATTTTAACTTTTGGTCTTAACAGAATTTCTTTGTAAGAGTAATAATTCAGAACACGATGTGTTAAGAAAAATTGCTGAATATTAAATATTTGATTTTCACGATTTTAAATGAAACAATAAAATTAAGTAAACTATTAACAGTTATTTGTTCATTAATGGGATCCTTTAACTCATTTTATGCCAGATTTTATTTTAAATCATTTTATATGCAATTTAAATTCTATTGCAATGATTTTTTTTATTTAATTTTAATTTTCACTTCCATTTATAATTTTTTCTAGCTATTTGTATGATAATATAAAATTTTGATTAATTTTTTTTTGGTCACACAAAATTGTTTAAATATAATCCTAAATAATAATAAGTTGATGAAGTGGCGGACGTAGCTCAGAGGTAGCATGTCCGACTCACATGCCGGAGATCGTTGGTTCGACTCCTGGCGCTTCTAAATAATTGTTAATAATAAAAAGAAGTTTAGAAGATGAGAAGAACATATTGAGAAACAAGAAGAAGAATGAAAAATTGAATAGAAGATTAGGATATAAGAAGAGATAGTATATATATGATGAGTATAAGAAATATATAGGTAATTGTATAGAATATGATGAAGAATAAAATGAATAATGTATGTGGCTAAAAATGCTGTAAAGCGGAGGCCAATAAAATTTAAAAAAAAAAAAAAAAAAAATAAGTTGATGAACAAATCATAAAAATCTATAACGATTAGAAAAAATATTATAAAACTAACAGGTAAATAAATATAAAGTTGTTGTCTATTTATATCTTAAAACATTTTCACTTTTTATTTTGCAAGAATATTTTTAGAAGAAATATTTCAGAAGATTGTTGTATTTTTGATATTTTCAGATAATGATCTTCTTAAGAAAATATTAAAAATACTAAAAACTATTTTTAACTGTTATTTTTCCATTTTATCTAATTCCTAATTATATTTCCTAAATTATTTTTAATATAAATAATTAATTATTGAATATGTTTTTTATTTTTATGTACTTTTGGATGTGCACAAAATTAATATGATATTGCCTTAAAAGACGTAGTTATCATTATTACTCTGATTTTGTAGTTATAAACAAACAATCAAATATTTTTTTACAAAAACCTTCAAATCGTCAGTGATTACCTATATTTTGTGCCTAACACAAATTATGATGTTTTTTGACAAATATTTTTCATAATTTATGATTTATTTCAGTGATATGCTGATTAAGTTCCAACGCCTGGTACAATTTTTGGCATACCAAATTATTATATCAAATTTGTCAGAATTACTGTCGGTACAAGTCCGTTAACAGAATATGTAAAATGTTTACCGAGTTGATTTAGAAAAAAATATTTTTACTCTTACTTGCATATCCTAATCTTGCAATCCAAGGATATTGTCCTAGACTGGCATTTTTTCCTCCAACTATCCTATCACTTATACTGAGACCACAATCTTCATCATTGAGCAATTTCCAATTCTTATGCTGGTTTAGGTCTTCATTTGGAAGATCAGGGTCAACTTCTTCCTGTGAGTCTTCAGAATTTTGTTCATCTGGAATTTGAAATCATATATAGTACTTTTCTAATTTTTTGCTATTATTTTTTTAATATGATTATGTGGTAAACCTAAAACTTTTGATTATCCCTATGTTAGAGATGTTTAAAACAAATTTTGTGGGAATTATGAGAATTGAAAATAAAAGAAAATTTACTTGCGTTAGATAAAATGTATTTGCTATAAAAAAAAATTTAAAATTTCAAACAGTATTATATGCCTTATGAATAATATTATATAACTTATAAATACATTATTGTAAGTGGAAAGGGAAGAATGGAATTTAATCGAGGTATTTGGTGTGTATTTCTATTTGGTTTTATTAATAGATCACTTCTTTTTTTAAAATATAACTATTTTATGGTATGTAATTTATTGCAGTCACCTACTTTACAACATATTTTATTATTTGGATATTACTTTAATTTTTGCAACTTATACATTTTTTTCAGGAAATATTTTAATAAGACAAAAAATGCTATCAGAACTTGCAAAATTATTTACGAAATTCTTGTTTTTGAAGAAAATAAATGGCTGGGTTAAAGGTTTCGAAATGTTAATGGATTTTTGACGTTATTGAAAATTTTGAATTTCCTATCGTTTTCAATGTAGTTATTAGATATTCATTAATTTTTTGTTATAACTTGTGACAAATTTTAGCATTTTTAATACACTTTTAGATAAATTTATCTGAAGTTGATAACAAATGTATAAATTATAATGGTTTATTTATCGAAATAGAAGATGTGTAAAATGCATTTAGTTTAGTCCTAATGTAAATCATATTATATACTTTCGATATATGAACTTATACAAATACTATTTTCAAACACAAGTGACTATCTGCATAATACTTATAATACCTATATCAATAAATCCAATTATAATTATCTTCTTGTACATTATGAAAATAGAATTTTTTTTAGATAATTATAAGTGCTTTTAGGTAATTATAAGTATAAATTTACCCAGCAAATCCGTTGGGATCAGAAACGAAAAATGATCTCTTATAATTGTTTTTAAAAAATATTTAACATTTTTTCAATTTAATTCTTGAACAATATTCTTTTTACTTTGATTTGTGTTTTAAAGATTTCTACAAAGTCGTGTAATAGTGATTGTGTGCCATTTAACAAAATATTTAAATTATAGAGTACCAAACACAAATAATTACTAACGTTTTAAAGCAATTTTCCAAAACTAAACTATCGATTTAATAACAATATTTAATAAATATTATTTGAAAAAGCTCAATATGTATATGATTAAGAACTTAAGTAAGTATATTATATTTTAGATTATTCAGCTATTAAAATCTTTAATCGAACAAATATTTATATGATGAAATACATTGATGTTTAATGCGTTAATAATTTTCATAATTTTAAAACACCACAATTTATCCTTTTTTAATCCATTATTTCTATTTTATTCGTAAACTTTCTAGTCAAACAACTTTTTCCATGTTCTTGTGCCTTGTCTATCAAGTTCCTGTATTTTTTCTCTAGAAAGTTGGCGATCATCTTTATTTTTTCATTCACAATTTTAATCTTTTCATTACTTCTATTTTAATACTGCTCCCATTATTTTGATACCTTTGATATTTTGTAGAAAGGATATGGATCCGATCTAGTTTTCCAATTAATCAAAATGCACATGTAACTATTACTCACTAATACTTGCCCTTTTTACTGCATTTATATTTTTAATTTCATGTATGACCAAAACCAAGTTTTAACCAACATTTGTTTTGATTTTCTCATATTTTATTACCAAATTTTTTGGTTTATCGTTAACCAGTTTGTAGATACCTTATTTAGTGTAAGCCTCGAAATTTCATTATTTTAATGTATAATGTAGTTATTCTGGCACATATGTTTTGAATAACCGATGTAAATTTGCTTTTAAATTCTGATGAATAAATGATTTTAATAATTCAGTAAAGCCTCTAGTGCGATTTTTAGGAATTTGCATCAAAATTTTAGTTGATGCTCAAAAACAAATATTTTATTTCTTTAAATAAAATCGATGTTATATAACTTAAACGTTTTTTTTACTCTTGGTATTAGTCTTTTGCATTACATGTTAGATATTTTATATTAGTACTTTTATATATAATATAGAAAAACATTATCTTATTATACATGACAAAAATACAAAAGTTTTGAAATCTCATATACCTCAGAATTTTATAATTTTTGATGTAATTTGGTGCCTATTTCATGATTGGTATTAATATTAAAATTAATACAGAATTCGTGTATAATTTTTAGGTCTATCTCAAAATTATATAAAATTTTGTATTTCAGTGTTATATTTTATATTCAGTGTTATATTTTATTAAATAAATGATACTACTTTTATTATTAAATGATTGGTAATAATATTAAAGCCAGTACAAAATTCAAGTGTAATTTTTACAAATCTGCTTAATAAACGTATTTTATGCTATATCCTAGTTATTTATTGCTCATTTATTTAATAAAATAACCGACGTGCATTACATTTCATAACTAAATAATGTCTATTGATTTAATATTAATATAATAAGTTATTACAAAACTCATGTGTGATTCTTGTGAATCTGCCTCGGATTATTATTTTTTGATAGTTATTTTTAGTGGGTATTTTATAAAATATCTTATTTATTTTATTTCTTTAATAAATGATTTGTATCAATATTAAAGTCAGTACAAAGCCCTTGTATAATTTTTGAAAATATGCATCGGAATTTTATCAGATTTGGTCTTGATATTAATAAATGTTTGCTCTTAAATGAAGAAGTAATTCATGCAATATTTATTTTATTAGTAAATGTTTGGTATTTTATTCCAGTAAAAAATTCAAATGTAACTGTTATAAAACTGTTTCAAATTAATTGTATGTTCTAGATATTTGTTGCTTATTTTATTAAACCACCGACGAGTATTTAATATCATAATTAAATAATTTTATTAACATTGACGTGTGAGCCATGTGTGATTTTTGTGGATCTGCTTCAAAATTTTATTGTGTGCTATTTTGTTGAATGACCGATATAAAATTGATTTTTTTATAATTACATGAAGATTATTAACATAGACAAAACTCAAGTGTTTTTATTATTTGTTCTCAAAATTTATTATTTCATTGTATATTCTGGTTAGTTGGTTGTTATTTTATGCGATAACTGGTGCGCATTTTGTTTCATTTTTTAATTGGTAGTAAAATTAAATTGAGTACAAAATACAGTATATTTTTTGTATTTTATTTTATTGTCAGGCTTAATTGTTATTTTTGAAATGTTGCAAAGCTTTTTTAATCATTTTTTTTAATTATTTCTTAAGTGTATTAATAATCTTTTCAAGAGTTTTTATTATATTGTTGTCCTGTTTCACCTACATAAACAGCATCGCAATCTTTACAGTCAATTTTATAAACATGTGGTGGAAGTATATTCATAAGGATTCATTATCATAATCAATTTATTATTTATTGTTTGGAAAAGTAGTTGAAAAAAACCACAATATAATATTTTTACTGTGATTGTATTAAATAAATAGGGCCTATAGGGCTAGTCTATAGGTTTTATAGTCACTAATATGAACACGAATAAGTACAAATTATATATAATTATGGTATTAATTAATTTTTTTTGTCTAAATACTATTGTCAGTCAAATTTCTGCAATTCAATTAAATCCATAAGTGTATCAATAAAATGAGTTTTTTGTGTTTTTGGGATGAAATATATTGTAAATCTCTTTTAAGCGTTTTTTTTTTTAAATATCTTTTAAGAATATTAATATTTTTTTCAAGAGTTTTATTAAATATTATCCTGTTACACCTATATAAACAATATCGCAATCTTCACAGTCAATTTCATAAACATATGGTAGGCGTATTATTCAAAAGGATACATTATCACTATCAATTTATTATTTATTGCTTGGAAGTGGTTAAAACATTTCACAATATAATATGTTTACTATTAAAAATTTATCTTATATTGCTAGATTTTGTGGAAAAGTGATTATATTAAGTATTCGGCTAGTTTATAGGTTTTATATAGTCACTAATATGAATACAAAATACAAATTTATAATCATGGTAATAATTACGTTTGTTTTTTGTCAAATACTATTGTCAGTCAAATATATGAATTTTAATTAAATCATTAAGTGTATCTATAAAATGAGTTTATTGTGTTTTTTGGGATAAAATATTTTGTATCAATTATCAATTTCTATTTTGATTCATCATTTTAATAAACCCCCAAATAATAATTTTTATCAACACTTTCTAAATAATTCAAACCAAATAGGATTTTATATTTATATAATTTATAAATCAGAATGATGAAGCACTTAAGTTTCTATCTGGAAATTTTGAAATAACGAGTCATTGTGAAATTTTTTTAAAAATTGAAATAGTTAATTACGATAAATATTCAGTAATTATTAAGTTTACATACATTTTAAAAAAAATCTGCTCTTGAACAATTGATATGCAAAAAAGATATTGATGTTATTTTATTGTTTGTTTATTATTATACAATTTAAACAAGAGTTGTGATGACAAAAATTTAAATTTTTGGACACTTGTGTAGAAAACCTTGAAAATTTGTCAACAAACGACAATCTGACGTTTGTGGCGACTTCAGTCTATTAAAAAATGCCAAAATATATTACAATTTATAACCAATATGAAAAAAAAACTAATAATTTGCATGAATCAATTTGCAAATTTTTGTCTCTTTTTAACGTATATATTTCAGACCTTACGTTTTATTTCTTATGTATCATAATATAAATATCATTGAGGTTTAATACAACTTGTATATAAAATGTATTATCTATGAATTTTATTACTATTTTGAATATATTTTATTTTAATTGGTATACTTATGACGCATTAGTTTTTTGCTTAAACTATAAGCATTTTTCAAAATCTGCAAATTAAATTTTTATTATGCTTGTATATATTTAACTCAAGAGAGAGGATATAATTTATTTTTAAGAGAATGTCGTCTTCACTCAAATTTTTATTCATTTAAATAATAAATTTGTTGTATAAATTATGTCGTGTAAAATAAATACATCAATAGAAAACTAATAAAATTACAGTTTACGGCGTTATTCTTATAAAGGCTCATCGGTTGAGAGAATCATTTTTTTCTAAAAGTACTTATTTTGCATTACCTCAATATAATATAACTTAATGAAAACTATTATCTATATGATTCATTACTATTTTGAATATGTTTTAATTGACACATCTGTGACGTATTATGATATATTTTTGCCTTAATAAGCATTTTGCAAAGTCTACAAATAAAATTGTTATCATGCTTGTATATATTTAACTCAAGAGAGGATATAATTTATTTTTTAGAGAATGTCGTCTTCAATCCAATTTTTATTCCTTTAAATAATAAATTTGTTGTATAAATTATGTCGTGTAAAATAAATACATACTAATAAAATTACAGTCAAGAACGTTATATTTTTAAAGGCTCCTCATTGATTGGAAATCTTTTTTTAAAAAAAAATATTTATTTGGCATTACCTTAATCTATGAAAATCATATATAAATACGTAAGAATTATTTTGAATTCAGCGGATAAAGATATATGGTTTAACTTTAAATTATTTTTCACCCTTTAGTAATATTTCAAATGGTTTACGATATAATTCGATAAGAATTTAGGTTCTTCATTTTTCTCACTACCATATCAATGAATTTTTATGGAATCTCAAGTAAATTAGAATATTTATTTCTATTCATTGAATGGATTATGTAAAATACCTGAATAATGTAGCAAATCTCTTGGAAATATCGGAAAAAATGCTTTTTAGACGACAAATCCAATTTTTATTTTAAATAATTCAATATTACATTTTTTTTAAATTGTATTAGTTTTTTATTTTCACTGATGAACACGTTTCTCCGAATTACAATATACTAAGTAAAATTTTCTTATATAATAATTAAATCCTAAGTAAAATAAAAGTAACTACCCATAATGTAAATTGAAACAATGAAACAAATTACTGAATTTTAGGCGTTTTTTAGTATAAGTTCAATTTTATATTCGATGGATTTCAGAATATATTAGGGATTTTTATGCAAATTTTAAAATATAAAATTAAGACCAACATTCTGTGTAAAAATGATAAAATTACGAAGACATAATAAATATGAGCAAGAATATATTTAAACAAATGTGTCACATATACGAAATAAAATATGTATAATATGTTTTTAGTTTTAAATAGTATTAATTAATTTTCATACGATTTATTAAACTTCTGACCTAATTATTTAATTTAAATAAATACCATCTTACCTGATGCTGCGAGTTCAAACAAAATCGCAAAGAAAATTATTATTTTCCACGGGTTTGACCTAAATCTGAAAAATCAATTTTGATTGAAAAAAGTTCATTATACAACACACTATCAATTTAATTCTTTAATTAGAAGAATATAAATTATTTTTTAGATTTATTAGGTTCATTATTCACAAGAACTAACTCACTTTTT